GCTCTCTAGTAAATATAGGTATAAGTAAAAAGCTCACTCTGATCCTGTAGGGTTTACTTCTCTAAATCCTGTATTTATATTGATGGGCCTTTTCTATAGAATAACAGTTTAAGAGAGTGCATATTAGTGTATAGGTGTTTTTTTAATCATATTTTTATTTTTACAAAAATGAAAATCATAGCACGTTTTCTACAGCACGCCTGAGGTATTGCTAGTCCAGAAAGTGGCAGATTTCCTTTGTCCTTTCTCAGTTCATAGCAAAACCTAATTCCCCAGAAAAGAGCCCTCCTGAGTGCAGGAATACTTCAGGGAAGACTTTGCAGTTCAGCCCTAAGTTCTGCATGAATGTCAATCTCTGCAGGTCGGGGGCAGATCTGTGCCTGGGGTGAAAGCCAGGGCTACCAATCACTGGGCTCCCTCACTTCACAGCACTGCCCCTAAGGGAGCTGTTTAGATCACTCAGGCCTCAGTAGCCAATCAGGACCTTCAGATGGACTGCCAATCAGAATGGGGAGGGCACTTCCGGTGCGACCGGCAGCTTAGTCTGTGGCTCGGTGGTTAAAGGTGGGTCTCCTGTTCTGTGTGCTGGGCTGTGACTGCCTGCTGGGAGCCAGGAGGAGAGCGGGTGAGCATGGAATCCGCCATGGTGAGTGAGGGGCCACCGTCCCATGTGAGGAGAAGCCGCGGGAGCCGGAGTGGGGTCCCCCGCCCCGGGGCTGTGGACATGGCGTCAGGACGCGGTGTGTGGAGTGATTCCCTTTGGTGTCCTGAGGTCTCTGCAACTCCCAGGCAGAAGCAGAACCTCTGAGTGATTTATCGCTGGGGTTTGCGCCTCTCAGAGCATGGGGGAGAGTGAGCCTTTGTGAGGAAATACCCTAGTCACCATGCAAGGCATGGTGATAATTTTTTTCATTTCTTTCAGTAAAAACTGTGGCCAGGGAAGGCAGATTTGCTAACTTGCAGAGCTCTGGTCACTCTGCTGTCTTCTAGAAGTTCTGCACTTGGCATTGAACATTCAGGTGTAGATCCGTCTGCAGTTAATTCTGTGCAGGCGTAAAGTCTGTGTCATTAACACATCTGCATGTAGATGCCAGGGTGGTTCATTTACCTGTGTCATTAAGGCCGGACTTACTGTGATTTCTGGCCTCATGTGGTAAAATTGAATGTATATTTATTGTGTTTTTATTTCTAAGTTTGCTTTCATGTTCTGTTGATCTCTTTATTCTTTCCCAGACAGTACAGTCCCGCCCCCCTCCCCCCTGACACACACATACGTTTTCTCTATGTAGCCCAGGCTGTACTGGAACTCATTCTGTAGATCAGGCTGCCTTCAAAAACCAAATGCTTCGTTTAAAGGTGTGTGCCCCCACCACCACCCAGTTCATTGCAGTCTTTATTGCAATTTCATTCAAAGTTAGAAGTCAGATGGTGTCACAGTGTTTATGTACTATTTATTCAGTCGTGTGTTGTTCAATTTTTCATTCCTGATGACATTTTCTCATGTTATTTTTGTTTCTCATGCAATTTACTTTGTAGCTGAAATTGTTAGACTTTAATTGAACTTTTGCTGTATCTGTAACTCCAATTCTGCATTGTCATAATATAATA